GTAGCAACACTCAAGCAACAATCCATAACATATAGCTTCATGGTGGCAACTTTGGCAACCACAACTTTAATTTTCTTTAGAAAATGTAGTTTTTATTAGTACTTTTTGGCCTTTTCACCACTTAAGAGTGGCAAGAATGACAGGAAAGATAAGCGGGAACATTGGAAATGAAAATGTTCAACAAATCAAAGCTTGGCCACATCTCTGACAACAAGACAGTTCTAGTTTTTCCCTTTTAAATTTGTTTGCTTTTATGATTTTGCGCACAAACACACACGTCTTTTAAGCGATAATTATCCCAGTGCCATGTTAGGCTTGGCAACCGGTCCTTCTTCACCATGATTTTGAGTTATCGCTTTGGAGAATCTATATACGTGTGAGCGACAGAGAGAGACAAATGACAAACTGTTCATGCACTCTGACACTCGCGTCAATGGGGATGATTCACAACCTTTTGGAGCGAAAAAGCAGAACCGCTTTGAATTACACAACGGAGCCTGCACACACACACACACACACACATACACGTCTAATAAGAGTAGAAAGTGAGATAGATAGGGCAAGAAACCTAAAAGCAAGAGAAAAGGTGAGATAATTTAACTTGTCTCACTCTCTCTCATATCCTACAATGATGTCAGCTGCCTCAGAGAGACCAAGTGCAGCTGAGCGAAATGCTGTGCTCTTGCCCACACACACACTCACAAATCTCCATCTCTTAAGAAAATGGCTTTAATCAAGACAATCATACACACCGTCAACAATGAATGAGTGACAGTATACGTTTTTAGTATTTGAGTCAGTGTTGACAAATTCATTGATTATAACAAGAGTTTTAGTTTTTATTAGTACTTTTTGGCCTTTTCACCACTTAAGAGTGGCAAGAATGACAGGAAAGATAAGCGGGAACATTGGAAATGAAAATGTTCAACAAATCAAAGCTTGGCCACATCTCTGACAACAAGACAGTTCTAGTTTTTCCCTTTTAAAGTTGTTTGCTTTTATGATTTGTTCAAGACACACTGGCATTGTGCTACTTCAGCGTTTTCTCCACATGGAAGAGATTTATTTTTTTTCTTTTGCATGAAAGAGATTAGGACGTCTTCACATCTAGGTTGTCCAATAAACAACAAAACAGGTAATAATGAAATCAGTACCGCTGAATATGAAGTACATTTTTGCCAAACCCTAACTAGCTTCATTTACCAAGTCAGAAGTAATTACATTGGTCGTTGTGAGCTAAATTAAACCAGAGAATGAATTCAAATAGAGATTGTGCGTGCAAACATCATCACAGAGAACAAAAGGCATTCTATCATTGTGATAAACATTCAATAATGGTAAAGAAAGAAGAGCGTAATCAAATATGCAAGACAATGAAGATTTGTTTGTTTCCAGTAATGATTTTTTATTTGTGTTTTCAGTATGGAGTGACTTCAGTTGTGGAAATTACTGTCTTTTTCTCTTACAGCGATAGAAACAACAGTTTGTAAAGACTTAAGAGTGCTACCTTTACCACAATTAAGGAGTTTTTTGTGATTTTTTTTGTTTTATTTATTATACAAAAATTTATTTAATATAAATATATTTAATATATTATATTATATTTTATGTTTATGCTGCAAAGGATCAATCGTTGAGCAAGTGATGTAATGCTAAATTTCTCCAAATCTGTTCTGATAAAAAAACTAACTTATCTACTTCTTAGATGTCCTCAGGGTAAGTACATTTTCAGCACATTTTCATTTTTGGGTGAACAATTCCTTAAATATAGAATCAAAATTCAGGGTCTGTACAATGTTGTAGGCTATATACTAGCCGTTAGCCAATCCGCTCTCTCATCAGTGAACTCTAATATTCAAAACTGGTCATTTCTCTTATTTCTATCTCTGCAGGCCTGAAAACTTTATCTTTTCGCAAATGGAAAAAATTTACGTTCCCATAAAATAGTCCTATGTAAAGTATGCTCACAACCCTTCATGGGTGTTTACTGTTTTACTGAGTCATCAAATATAACGTGAATTTGTGTAACTGATAGTTTTTAGTTCAAGCCTGGCTCAAATACGTGTGTGCACTCGTGAAGCTGTGTGTGTATTTGTGCAGAGCTCTGCACATGGTAGCTGAGTCTGACACGGGCTATCTCTCCAGGTCAGTGTAGATAGCTTTTCCATCTCTAATGTCTTTCCCAGAAATCTCCCCACACACAATGAGGGGCTTATATTCCACCTTACATGCATATGTGTGTGTGTGCTTATATTCATTTATCCTAGATCATTTATGACGATAAATTACACTACTCAGCACAGTGAACCTACTGAAAGAAAACAATTACATGTATCTGTCCAGTGTTTTGAAATTAATCACCTGCAGATAAATTCTCTTTCACAAACAAAGCCTCCAAGATAAAAGTGTTTATAAAATTACAATTCATAATAAGACTGTATAAATTGAAAAAACAACAACAACAACAACTCAACCTTCAATAAAACATATTATCATAAACTAATTTCTTTCACAAATCACGATTTCTTTTTTTTCCTGGAATACAGAAGATCTTTGAAAGCGAATGGTGACCAAGGACTTTCAAGCTCTGAGGATGATAAAAAGAGCCATAAAAGGGAAATAAATGTTTATTATTATATAAACATTAACTAAAAATCTTCCTTTGTTGTAGCTATAAAATCTCTCAAAGCTTTCAATCTCAAAATTGAATGTTCATTTATTTTTTTGGAGCTTCAGATCCACTGTTCATCATTTACTTTCACTATATGGAAAAGAGCAGCTTGAACATTCTGCTAAACGTCTTCTGTTGTGTTCAGCAGAGGAATTAATACCCATACAGGTTTGGAACGACACGAGAGTGAGTAAATGACAGAATTTTCTCTTTTAGCCAAGTTCTCATTTTTAAAGGCCCCTTCACACCAATAACGGATGATAACATTCTCTTTATTATAAACACGTGTCCTGGCTCTTCCAAGCTTTATAATGGCAGTGAATGGTGGTCGAGATTTTGAAGCCCAAAAAAGTGAATCCATCAATCATAAAAAGTGCTCCACACGGCTCCGAGGGGTTAATAAAGGCCGTCTGAAGAGAATTGATGCGTTTGTGTAAGAAAAATATCCATATATAAAACTTAAACCATAATCTCTAGCATTCCGCTAACTGTGGTACGCGCGTTCACGAGAGAGTGGCGTTCCAGTGGATGATGTAGGACGTAGGCATAGCGAAAGCTCCGATAGGAACATGCTAGTCTTGCAAGAAGAAAGAAGAAAGTTATATATACCAATGGCTTGAGGATGAGTAAAGCATGGAGTAGTTTTCATTTTTGGGTGAACTATCCCTTTAAGAAAACTTATAGCCTGTTCATCACTCGATTCAAGCAGCAACAAAAACGCTTAGCATAAATGCATTTCAAAAGCAGTGGCACATGTAAAGCTCAATGAGGTGTCCTCGGTTGTAGACACTTTCAGTGGATCAGATGGAAGGAAACACAGGTAATCCACTCGCCATATCAGCGCTGACAGTCAACACATGCATTAGCATATGTTAGCATTCCTATTCTTGTGGTCTCACATGCTCTATAATCTGTTTCGCAGCAGATTTTTGACAAAGCCAAACAGAGGCAGAATAGGAATAAATTTGTATGCATTAGAAGCCTGCAAACATATGCTGCAAGATGCACAAATGCTAACATACATTATTAAGATAAATCTTGGTCAGGTGAGTGTACACAGACATAGGCTAATGTGTAGTCAGTTTCATAGAGAATCTCCAAAAGAAGTCCAAGCATTCAGTTTATTTTAAGATTCTGCACTGCTAGGTGTTTTCCAAGAGTGTTTACTTTTAGTTGTTGTTTAGTTGCAGTGTCAATATAGTCGGATCATCCATACAGGAGACATGAAGAACTATAAAGCATGTTATTTTACACAAAGGAGAAGTCTTTTCCTTCCAGTCCACATACATAGCCTATATAGTTCAAAAGTTTGTGGTCAGTAAGATTTTTTAAAGCTTTTATTGAGCAAAGACACATTATAATGATAAAAAGTAAACTTTAATGTTTTACTATTTAAAATAAATGCTGTTTTTTTTTTTTTACTTTCTGTTCAAAGAATCCTGAAAAATCTTTAAAAAAAATATTAAGCAGCAACATTGATAATAAGAAATATTGAAAATTCAGCTTTGCCATCATAGGAATAAGTTACATTTTAAAATAGAAAAAGGTTATTTTAAAATGCAATGATATTTCACAATATTACTGTTTTACTGTATTTGTGATGTTTTAAAATATTTTGCTTAAAGGGGTCATATGATGTTGCTAAAAAGAACATTATGCTTGGTTGAAAGTGCAAACAATATTGTGCAATTATTGCAAGTTTTTATTAGAAAACTTTCAGAGCTTTCTGTATTTAGCACTTTAGATGCCAGTGCCTTAATTAAAATGTTGCCCTTGAGTAAAAATCTCATGTGCAATCAGCTTTAGAATTATAAACCAAATATACCAGTTTATATTATTATGTTGACTAGAAACAGACTCTAAACCTTAACAATAATAATCCTCTGTGCCATCAGTGAACAAATGGTGACAATAAACAACTGTCTCTCTGTTGCCAGCCTCTTATTATTTGCAAACAGGAAGGGATGTTCATTTTGAATCATCCAACAGACATCCAATGGACCATAATAAATAGAGTTGGCTGCAAATGTCTGCCTCTTTAAAATCAGAGACAGCTGGTGCACAGTAATCGGTTTCTAGCTAGGGAAATGTAATTTGTTGTAAAATAAGAAACTGTCATATCTTTGAATAACCTCTTTTACAAGAATTGCGGTGGAAATTTGTGGCAACTCATGTTAAATTCATTCAAATATGATTCATTTTTAAAGGTTAAATATTTATTTTGCACAGTTTTCTCAGCCTTTTTCAAAAGCTTATGGGGAAAATTATGCAAAAAAGTTTTATTCTCAGGTTTTGATGCTGTTTAAACAGACATAATCATAATACATACGTAATCATAATTACCAAGATTCTGCATCATCTTATTCAGCTCCTCATCCTCCTCTTCCTCCCTGTAAATGAATGAACAAAAAGAATTAAACAATATAAATATATATATAAAAAAAAAACATTTAATCAATGTTCCAATTTAATCAATGTAGCATACTAAATACATTTAAAAAAAGAAATAAAATAAATGCCCCATTTACTTAAATGAATGTACCTAGTCATAATGTGCATTTTATAATAAATAAACAAATATATATTACTTTAATGAATGTACCTGGTCATACTGTGCATATTATTATAAAGCTTATAAAGTTTATATTATCTTTCAACTCTTCTGCTGATGTAACCAAGGATGTTTAGGCAAGGATGATAGGATATGATATGTTTTGCTATAAGTTTGATTGCATCATATAATAATTGCTGTTAATAGTGTTCATCGTCTGTTTGATTACGTCTTTAATTGATTTTCCGTACATTTCTGCCATATGTACAATTAACTGACAGTCACCACTGATAAGCTACTACTAAATATATTGTAGAAACGTAATTTTCTGTAAAGTTGCTTTGCAACGATTTGTATCGTGAAAAGCACTATACAAATAAACTTGAATTGAATTGAATATGTGTTGCACACCTCAGTCTGTCTTCATCCAGCCCCTCCACAATGGCATTCCGATCGTTCACAATCCCCACAAGTTTGGCCATCAGCTCTTCCTCTCGTTTACGATCCCAAGATGTCTTCAGATGCTCTACAAGATAGAAACAGCATTTTATAGCTAGATTAGACTTACACAAAAGTGAAATGAAGCGTTAAAGCAGATTTATAGTAGATCTCTTGAATAAATCAAATCATGTAATCTGTCAGTTGTTTGTTTACAACAGTCTACACAAAGCTTCATTATCATCCACTGATACAGTTAGCCCAAAAAGTATGAATGCCATTGCACAACACGAACAAAATATGAAACCAAGTGGCATCTGCAAACAAATGATGCTTGACTTTTTCAACCTGGTTTGTCCAGCAGCTTCCTGAGTTCGGCCTCAACACTGGGCTGCTCTTCCTCTAGATCTTGTGTCTTGGCACTATCATAACACAATCACAGATAACAAAACCGTTTAATGCACATTTAGAAATATAGAAGATATTCACTATCAGCTTTCCGGTAATTCAGCAGTTTACACATACATGTACACAAGCTCGGATTCGCGTCTCAGGTAGACCTGTTTGTTTCTGATGAGGGTAAACCAGTCCACCATTAAGTCATTCATTAATGTGTCCTCTTCTCCTTCTGAATAAAAAAAAAAACAAGAAATGCAAGATTCCTTTAAACATAATTGCATTAGTTAGGCTAACAAATAAAGTTAAGAGTTGAAAATCTACATCTCTAATATTTGTCTCCATCTGCTGGAGCACCAGAGGACGACATCTAGTCTTGGAATACTTACATTTTACTATGCATGTTTAAATAATGCTTAAACCACTAATACAGTCTTCTAAAACAAACATCCTCTCATTCTGAATTAATTAGTGTACAGTTATAATAATTGCTGTTAATAGTGTTCATCGTCTGTTTAATTATGTCTTTAATTGATTTTTCGGTACATTTCTGCTATATGTACATTAACTGACAGTCACCACCGATAAGCTACTACTAAATATTATAGAAACATAATTTACTGTAAAGTTGCTTTGCAACGATTTGTATTGTGAAAAGCGCTATACAAATAAACTTGAATTGAAGTTATGATCAACAGTTTCATTTAGGCATTGTAATGAGTTTAAATCAGTTTAATGAGCTAAAAAAACGATTTTAGAAAAATGTCATTTTATATAAAAAAGTAAACAATTTAAATAAATATAAAAAAAATTTAAAATAGAAATGTGAAAAGTTGTCAATTATACAATTCATAATATGCATCAATTTATTTGGCAAATTAAAGGGACACAGTAAAATAATTCTTCCTTTGTCATATGAGTGTCTGACAAGTGGATCTGACAAAAGGCTATTCATTCATTCATTATTTGTAAAAGGTGAGCTGTTTTTTTTTTTTAGGAGTGTGTCTGTGTGTGTGTGTGTGTACAGACCCTCATCACATTGTCGGAGTTGCTTTTCCAGCTCTACTCCTCTTTTCTCCAACTCGTTCATATTCTTCTCAATTTCCTTCAGTTCTTTTTGAATGTCTTCCTTGGGAATGTAACCCGGCTAAAGCAAACAGACACACAATATGCCAAACGTAAACTTCCTGCACAAATGACTTTGTACAGATCCTCAATGGTTTATTTATTCCTTTCAGTGCTTTTCTAGTCTATCAGAGGAATGAAAAGATGGTTCAAAAAGTCTGGGCTTACTTTGAAGTCCCTCTATTTTGATTCTAACCGTCTATTCAAAGATAACTGTGCCCCAAAGGTCCTTTGACTCTCCAAAACTCTAAATAGGCCCCTTGATAAAGTAATCCCTGAACACTCACACACATCAGTGAAGACAGAAATGCACAAGAGCAGATAACACATGTAATTATTGTTTTGACACACACCTTGTGCAATTTGTGAGTTTCAGTCCCTGAGGGACTAACAGGAGATACACTGCTGCCACTGCTGGAGTCTGGAAGAAAGATGAAAACGGACTGATGAAATAGAGAAACTAAGAAACAAATGTACTGCATGCAGTGTTCCTTTATTGTATTGCATGTTTGACTGCACCTGACACCTCTTACATAAAGTATTATGGTATTACCACAGTTTTTGGACATTGTCTCATGATAATATCGTGCATTTGTGACACTGTAGGGCTATGTTCATAAACTGATGTGTGAAAAAATGGTAATCATACACTGGAAAAATCTAATCCTTAATCAGTATCTTGATCTTGTATCACAGCAACAACAACATTTGAACATCAAATCAAAATATTTACACGAGAAGCAAAATTGTACTAGTTTGTAGCAGTGTTGTTATTGTTAAAAATAGTTTTTTTGGTAACTGAAATAAAGCTAAAACAAATATTAGATGAAAAAACAAACTTAAACTTAGAAATCAGAAATATTGCGCTGAATTAAATAAATAGGTTGAAGTACTAAAATGACTAAAAGAAAAGAAAAAAAAATAATACTAATGACATTTATAAAAAAATTTTTTTTTTTTTTTTAAATGTATTTAAAAATGAAAGCTTACTGTATATTTTTATATCTTCGATTAATTCAAAATACTAATACTATAATAGTATATAAACAATAGTAAAAATACTGGTTTTCAGATAAAGTATTAAAGTATCAACCCACACATAATAAATATTTTGAAAAAAGTATATAATAAACTTTTAATTGGTATATTTTTTTAAGTTATTAAAAAAATTATATGTGTTCATTGTTGGAAAATAAAAACTAAAAGAAAAGAAAAAAAAATAATACTAATGACATTTATAAAAAAATTTTTTTTTTTTTTTTAAATGTATTTAAAAATGAAAGCTTACTGTATATTTTTATATCTTCGATTAATTCAAAATACTAATACTATAATAGTATATAAACAATAGTAAAAATACTGGTTTTCAGATAAAGTATTAAAGTATCAACCCACACATAATAAATATTTTGAAAAAAGTATATAATAAACTTTTAATTGGTACATTTTTGCCTCGTGATTTTTGCAAAGTTATTAAAAAAATTATATGTGTTCATTGTTGGAAAATAAAAATGAACAACAAGCCCATTTCTACACATTTTCCTAAGATCTTACCATTAGGTTTAGGCCCGTTTTTCATTGGGCTAGGTGAGGGAGCTTTGGGCGAGTTGATGCTAGTGGAGATGTTTGTGGTAGATGGTGCTGGAACAGATGTCTGAGAGATTCCAGGACCTGATGTCCGTGGAGAAGAAACTGCTTCCGGCCTCTTGGAGGGTGAGCCAGTGCTTTCTGTGGAACCGACAGTTCTAATAAAAAGGAAAAGAGATTAAAAGATATTGAACTTTTCTGTTTTGTTTCTGAGCAACTAAATGTTTTGCATCGCTTCTCTCACCTCTGACAGGTGAAAGTTTGTGAGGTTGAGGCAAGTTAAAGGGGTAGTTACAGGTGAAAGATCTTCATGGGGGAATTACATGTGCACTGAGCTCTATTGCTCTGGGGACTTTCAGATACGACCCACTGCTGGTCTTATTGGGCGCAGCGGGTTAACACGCCCATCAAAAGAACCAATCACAAAAGAGCATGAAGGAGTGGGAGGGACAGACCTTCCGGCAAACCAGTTAATCAATGAAGAGAGGGATGATTTGGTTAGGGAAATCATATAGAGAAGAACTTATTAAATTATTTTACTGAGAAAGAACATGACACAATACGTTTCAGCTGTCTGATTAAAAAAATATTAACGTACAAGACATTATTATTAAAGATCACAAGCAGGTTTAATTTGGAAAGACAACAGAAACTAGCACAACTTACTTTACAGGCTTGAGCATGGACCTCCAGTCAGATGGAGCTGTACCGTTTTCTGAAATTATATATAAAAAAAGATTTCCATTCATAAATGGACATAGTAGACATTTTGGTCTTAGAATAAATTTTTTAGCAATAAATCAAACCAGTGTTTTGGCTTACAACTACTCTATCATTCAAAAGTCTGGTGCCAGTAAGATATTTGTTTGAAAGGAATTGATACTTTTATTCAGCAAGGACATATACAATTCATCTAATTTGACAGTAAAGACATTTATAGTGTTGCAAAATATTTTATTCCAAATAAATGCTGTTCTTTTGGACTTTCTATTCAACAAATTCCTGAAAAAAAAATCTATCACAGTTTCCACAAAATATAAAGCAGCACAATTGCTTCAACATTGATGATAATAAGAGATGTTGTTCTTGACCACCAAACCAGCAAATTGAACAAAGTTCTTGTCAAGTTATAATTTCACTTTTTAGAGATTTAGAGACTTTTTAGAACCTAATTTAGAGGTTAGGTTTATGTATAAAGCTTTGACCTCGGATGGCTTGATATATGCAAATATGCTTTTTACTGTTTATTTATACCGTTTCACTGTTTATAATTGTAGCTACTGTTGAAGTGAAGTTTTAAAACTGTATAACCTTGATGATATTTTGATGCAAAAAATTATGTAAATATAAACTTAAAAAAATATGAACATATTGGATGCTTTGAGGTTCCTGGTAAATGGAACATCATTTATCTTAAACTCATCCTAATTTTACCATAAACCTCAAATGGAAATGTGAAATGAATTTACATTAAAAAAATAAGTAAATAAATAAATATAATAATATTCTGTATATACACAGAGAGGGGGATTTTGCTTCTTATTTCAGAAGTCCACCACATACTGTTCACGGTCTATGTCTCTTGTGTATTGTTTTTGCATATTTATTTATTTTTACTCACTTCTTTTTATTTTTTGTTATCTGTCTTGTCACTTGTCAACCTGTCTGTGTACTGGAAGCTTCTGTCAGCAAGAAAAATTCCTTGTGTGTGTAAGCACACATGGCAATAAAGCTCTTTCTGATTCTGATGCCACAAAGAGATTTTGTTTGACGGGAATGTTGTTTAAGGACCAACAAAAGTTGTTTACCCTGATGTTGAACACATCTACATTAAAAACCTAATGTATCGGGTGGCAGTAAATATGTGAGTTTGTCTTCCTTACCCTTACTGTTGGACGACAGCGTGCTCGCAGGCCTGGATAAGGTTTTATCTTTGATCCAGGACGGCGCTGCAGCAGTGGGGGCAGTAGGTTCCACACTGGTATCAAGTGCTTTGAGACGCACCCTACCTGAGGGGCCTTTAGCACCTGATTCCACAGGGGAAACATTACTATGGAAACCAAAGTGAGAGGAGATTGTGTTAATGACGGATGTGCCTTTGTACACAAACATGTCAACAAACACTTAACCATGAATTTAAACAATACTCAACAGGCTTGATTACATAAAGGCTATAAATCGGCTTCATTTATGACCCATGTACACCTCCACCCTGTGAAAATAAGTCATAAAATAATTGCCAGCTAAATACTGCACTCAAAGCAGGGGAATGTAGCTCACCAGACATTTACTTTCAGCCCAGCTGGACTCGGAGACGAGCTGTTGTTATTTTTTCCCTCCATCACCCTCTTCCCGATCACAGCTTTGGCTTTCTCCTTTGCATTCTCCTTCTCTTTTTCTGAGTCCTGCGTTTTTGCCCCGTCTCCCACCCGCAGCAGGACTCTACCTTTACCAGCTGTGGCTCCTGCAGTGACTCTAGGTATTGTGCTTTCTGGTGTAGGAGTTTTAACACTTGCTGTACTCACAGATATAGTTGAGGTGTATGATGAGGTGTTCTTACTGGCAGGCACAGTACTGCTGGGATTGCTGCTGGACTCAAAGAATCTATCCAAGGAAAAAAAAAAAAACC